CTTTCCCCTCTCCATTTCCAGCTCGCCAGTGGGCTCACATTGGCCCTCTCATTTTACTTCCATTGGCCCAGGAAGATGTGCCCTAGGGAGTTCAGGGATCAGCCACATGGACTCCCTGTTCCCCATCTGTCCTCTCCCCCGCCCCAGGAAACAGGTGTGTTTGAGCCGGGGCTGGAAGCAAAGACCAAGTACTGGATGAAGGGCCTTGGGTAAAGATCTAGTTGTCCCTTCTGCACCCAGGAGGTCCCCACACAGCCTTTCCTATCTCATGTTCAGGGTTCACTTTGTGAGAATTTTCAAAAGGAGTTCCTGGGTCACTATTGTAGGGCTTTCATGGCTTACTGTGGGTGCTGAATCACTCCCTTGGTGCCTGTAACCACAAGTCCTCCTTCCTCCTATTGAGAAAATAGCCTTCCTTCTCCGGCTGTATTGCTCACTCTTGCCACTGTGATCCCTAGAATCCTCCCAGGCCTCAAGGCTTAGCAGACACCCTCTTCAAATTGCTCAGAAATTTTCCTTGTCATTCCAAACCTGGCAATGAGTTTGTGGGTGGGAAGGGTGAAATGATACGAGTGATTTTCCCAAGAGACTGGGAGTGGTAGGGGACAGAGGGAGCATGAACATGATTAAATGTTATCTGTGTGCAAGGAATCATGCTTGGATTGGCAATGACCTGCTTTAGTCTTTAAAAAAACACATGAGGTGGCTCTTGTTATTTCATAGATTTTTTTTGTAGTTTTAAGAGGTTTTTTTTTGCTTTTTTTTTTTTTGAGACAGGGTCTCACTATGTAGTTCAGGCTGGTCTTGAACTTGTTTATACAGCCCAGGCTGGCCTCAAATTCACAGCAGTCCTGCCTCAGCCTCCTGAGAGCTGGGATTAGAAGCGTGAGCCACCACACCTGGCTTGTTATTTCATAAAGAAGGACATAAGGATCAGAGATTTTGATAATGTGGCTCCAAATGACAAGCCAATAGATGGTAAATGTGTAATTCCAATGCAGGGCTCACTACAGAGTTCCCTATCCAGTGCTCACAGCTGGATTTTCTACTGGTCACTCAAGATTCTTTAGGGAAATTGCCTGGGGCTGCCAGCTGGTCTCTCTGCCTCCTGGGTTGTTTCCCCCCTCTTTCTTTTTTTGTGGTGCCAGGGATTGAACCCAAGTTCTTTGCAGTGATATTCTCAGCCCCTTTTTAAATTTTTTTATTTTGAGCAACTGAGTCTTGCTGAGTTGTTAAATTGCCCAGGTTGAGCTCAAACTTGCAATCTCCCTGCCTTAGTCTCCAAGAGTGCTAGAATTGCAAGCCTGTGCCACTGTGGGTATTTTTTTTTTTTTTGAGACAGAATACTTAATATGTTGTCCTGATATAAGCCAAGCTGGCCTTGAACTTGTGATTCTCTTGCCTCAACCTCCCCAGTGCTAGGTTTGCAGGTGCACACCACCATGCTGTCTCACAGGGCTTCTTTTTTTTTTTT